TCATGTTGAGTGAGTACTATGTTGGTCATGTTGAGTGTGTACTGGGTATGCTGGTCATGTTGAGTACTGGGTATGTTGGTCATGTTGAGTGAGTACTGGGTATGTTGGTCATGTTGAGTGAGTACTATGTTGGTCATGTTGAGTGTGTACTGGGTATGTTGGTCATGTTGAGTGTGTACTATGTTGGTCATGTTGAGTACTGGGTATGTTGGTCATGTTGAGTACTGGGTATGCTGGTCATGTTGAGTACTGGGTATGTTGGTCATGTTGAGTACTGGGTATGTTGGTCATGTTGAGTGTGTACTGGGTATGCTGGTCATGTTGAGTACTGGGTATGCTGGTCATGTTGAGTACTGGGTATGCTGGTCATGTTGAATACTGGGTATGCTGGTCATGTTGAGTACTGGGTATGCTGGTCATGTTGAGTACTGGGTATGCTGGTCATGTTGAGTACTGGGTATGTTGGTCATGTTGAGTGAGTACTATGTTGGTCATGTTGAGTACTGGGTATGTTGGTCATGTTGAGTACTGGGTATGTTGGTCATGTTGAGTACTGGGTATGCTGGTCATGTTGTGTACTGGGTATGTTGGTCATGTTGAGTACTGGGTATGTTGGTCATGTTGAGTGTGTACTGGGTATGCTGGTCATGTTGAGTACTGGGTATGTTGGTCATGTTGAGTACTGGGTATGTTGGTCATGTTGAGTGAGTACTGGGTATGCTGGTCATGTTGAGTACTGGGTATGTTGGTCATGTTGAGTGTGTACTGGGTATGCTGGTCATGTTGAGTACTGGGTATGTTGGTCATGTTGAGTGTGTACTGGGTATGTTGGTCATGTTGAGTGTGTACTGGGTATGCTGGTCATGTTGAGTACTGGGTATGTTGGTCATGTTGAGTGTGTACTGGGTATGCTGGTCATGTTGAGTACTGGGTATGTTGGTCATGTTGAGTGTGTACTGGGTATGCTGGTCATGTTGAGTACTGGGTATGTTGGTCATGTTGAGTGTGTACTGGGTATGTTGGTCATGTTGAGTGTGTACTGGGTATGCTGGTCATGTTGAGTACTGGGTATGCTGGTCATGTTGAGTACTGGGTATGCTGGTCATGTTGAGTACTGGGTATGTTGGTCATGTTGAGTGAGTACTATGTTGGTCATGTTGAGTACTGGGTATGTTGGTCATGTTGAGTACTGGGTATGTTGGTCATGTTGAGTACTGGGTATGCTGGTCATGTTGAGTACTGGGTATGTTGGTCATGTTGAGTACTGGGTATGTTGGTCATGTTGAGTGTGTACTGGGTATGCTGGTCATGTTGAGTACTGGGTATGTTGGTCATGTTGAGTGTGTACTGGGTATGTTGGTCATGTTGAGTGAGTACTGGGTATGCTGGTCATGTTGAGTACTGGGTATGTTGGTCATGTTGAGTGTGTACTGGGTATGCTGGTCATGTTGAGTACTGGGTATGTTGGTCATGTTGAGTGTGTACTGGGTATGTTGGTCATGTTGAGTGTGTACTGGGTATGTTGGTCATGTTGAGTGTGTACTGGGTATGCTGGTCATGTTGAGTACTGGGTATGTTGGTCATGTTGAGTGTGTACTGGGTATGTTGGTCATGTTGAGTGTGTACTGGGTATGCTGGTCATGTTGAGTACTGGGTATGTTGGTCATGTTGAGTGTGTACTGGGTATGCTGGTCATGTTGAGTACTGGGTATGTTGGTCATGTTGAGTGAGTATCCACATTTGAAATCGAGAAATTAGTTAAAATTATGGTGTTTGAGTTAACATTAAACTGTTACTTTCATCACGTTTCTGGTTAACCAAAACCGTTCATTTTTTTACGTTTCTGACTAGACTAATCCGTTGACTTTTTTACGGAGTGGAGAGTAGATGGTAACCTTGACTCCGTTAACGAGGCACTTGGAGACCTTGTATACAGCTAACAGTTGTGTATGCTTTTACACTACTCACATATACAATCATACATATATATACACACTGCAGCATACATAGACACTCATAAGTACTCACATATACACACATAAATTCATTTTAAAATTCACTATATATATATACACTCACACATACATTGACCGTCATAAGTGTCGACATATATATATATACATTCTCACATAGGTATTCATATGCACACTCATACGTAATACAGTCAATATATACATGCATACACTCATACATAAACAATATGCACTCATGTATTATATACACAGGTTCTAACTCATTCACTTACAGAATCATATAAATACACCCACATATAGACTCATACACCCATACGTACACACACGCACACATAATGCATGTACACACATTAATATAACCTCACATACACCCACATATAATCATATACATACTCATACATGTAAACACATACATACTCACAGAAACTGATATGTTCACACACACACACACACACACACACACACACACACACACACACACACACACACACACACAAGGAATCAAGACTCATTTTTTTAATTTAGTGTTAAACCGTTTAACTAGCTTATCAAGACTGTAACTTGCTCAGCTAAATGAATTATGGAGTTCAGTTCCTGAGGCCATTATGTGATATGGTAATCTTTTTTTCACCTGATCTTTCCGGCATTCCTGAGTACAGGAGTTGTAGCTGATGTGTGAAAAAGGCTAACATAGTTCCAATCTACAAAAGTGGCAGCAGGGAAGACCCCCTTAATTATAGACCGGTATCATTGACAAGTGTAATAGTCAAAATATTGGAAAAACTAATTAAATCTAAATGGGTAGAACACCTGGAGAGAAATGATGTAATATCACACAGATAATATGGTTTTCGATCTGGAAGATCCTGTGTATCGAATTTACTCAGTTTCTATGATCGAGCCATAGAGATATTACAGGAAAGAGATGGTTGGGTTGACTGCATCTATCTGGACCTAAAAAAGGCTTTCGACAGAGTTCCACATAAGAGGTTGTTCTGGAAAATATTGGAGGGATGACAGGTAAGCTTCTAAAATGGATGAAAATTTTTCTGACTGATAGAAAAATGAGGGCAGTAATCAGAGGCAATGTATCGGAATGGAGAAATGTCACAAGTGGAGTACCACAGGGTTCAGTTCTTGCACCAGTGATGTTTATTGTGTACATAAATGATCTACCAGTTAGTATACAGAATTATATGAACATGTTTGCTGATGATGCTAAGATAATAGGAAGGATAAGAAACTTAGATGATTGTCATGCCCTTCAAGAAGACCTGGACAAAATAAGTACATGGAGCGCCACTTGGCAAATGGAATTTAATGTTAATAAATGCCATGTTATGGAATGTGGAATAGAAGAACATAGACCCCACACAACCTATATATTATGTGAGAAATCTTTAAAGAATTCTGATAAAGAAAGAGATCTAGGGGTGGTTCTAGATAGAAAACTATCACCTGAGGACCACATAAAGAATATTGTACGAGGAGCCTATGCGATGCTTTCTAACTTCAGAATTGCTTTTAAATACATGGATGGCGATATACTAAAGAAATTGTTCACGACTTTTGTTAGGCCAAAGCTAGAATATGCAGCTGTTGTGTGGTGCCCATATCTTAAGAAGCACATCAACAAACTGGAAAAGGTGCAAAGACATGCTACTAAGTGGCTCCCAGAACTGAAGGGCAAGAGCTACGAGGAGAGTTTAGAGGCATTAAATATGCCAAAACTAGAAGACAGAAGAAAAAGGGGTGATATGATCACTACATACAAAATAGTAACAGGAATTGATAAAATTGATAGGGAAGATTTCCTGAGACCTGGAACTTTAAGAACAAGAGGTCATAGATATAAACTAGCTAAACACAGATGCCGAAGAAATATAAGAAAATTCACTTTCACAAATAGAGTGGTAGACGGTTGGAACAAGTTAAGTGAGAAGGTGGTGGAGGCCAAGACCGTCAGTAGTTTCAAAGCGTTATATATGACAAAGAGTGCTGGGAAGACGGGACACCACGAGCGTAGCTCTCATCCTGTAACTACACTTAGGTAATTACACTCCCACTGGTGAGAAGGAGAGATAGGGGGGGGACATGATAATAACATACAAGATTCTAAAGGAAATTAACCAAGCAGACACAGCAGCATTGTTCAAAGCCAGGAACAGCAGAACGACGGGTCACAGATGGTCACTGGAGACGCAAATGCGTCACTGAGACGTCAGGAAGAACGTTCCCAGCGTCAGAGCCATCAGTGGAACAGGTCACACGTACAAGTTGTTGAATCTAATTTGATTCAAAGTTTTAAATATAAATATCGTATAAGGGTGAGAAATGAGTCATTGCCTTAATCTACGAACGTTGGGAAGGCGGGGCCAGGAGCCTAGCTCAACCCTGCAAGTACATCATGATACGTACACACATACACACACACACACACATTCCTAGTATCGTGAATATGGTGATCATGTCCCCTCCCTCCCTTCCTTCCCTGCTTTTAGTAACAGGTTTGAGAAGACCTGAGAGAGAGAGACTCTTAGAAACACCTCACTGCCTGTCAGCCAATTGTGTACGTAAACAAACAGCTGGGTGGTTGATGCCCCCTCCCCCCCTTGGTGTGTGAGTGTGTGGGTGTGTGAGTGTGAGTGTGTGTGTCCCAGACTGAGACATCTGGGCAGCGGTGTACTATTACAGCGTCTCCTCGCCACAGCTGCCAGCCACCACAGCTGCGAGCCACCACAACTCACTACCACAATTCTCTGACGAAATCTTGGTCAAGACCCAGTGTAATAGTGGTGGTGGGGCTCGACCCTGGGCCCAAGGTGTGCCACAGACGCCAGGTACGCCGGCCAGCCATGCCACGCACCTCCTCCTGGCTGTAGGCAGCCTCTACTTTTACTTCCCGGTAAAAAGTTGGGCAAGTGTGTGTGTGCTCGTTCGAGGCTTTTTGTGAGCACGTTTGGGCACTGTCCGGGGGGACGTGGCCGGATATGAGGGCCTTCGGTTAAGAGATCCGGGTATACTGTTCTAGCCAGGTGTGTTGAAGCCAGATGTGTTGAGGTCAGGTGTGTTGAAGCCAGGTGTGTTGAAGCCAGGTGTGTTGAAGTCAGGTGTGTCGAGGTCAGGTGTGTTGAAGTCAGGTGTGTCGAGGTCGGGTGTGTTGAAGCCAGGTGTGTTGAAGCCAGATGTGTTGAAGCCAGATGTGTTGAAGCCAGGTGTGTTGTAGCCAGGTGTGTTGAAGCCAGATGTGTTGAAGCCAGGTGTGTTCAAGCCAGGTGTGTTGAAGTCAGGTGTGTTGAACCAAGATGTGTTGAAGCCAGGTGTGTTGAAGCAAGATGTGTTGAAGCCAGGTGTGTTGTAGCCAGGTGTGTTGAAGCCAGGTGTGTTGAAGCCAGATGTGTTGAAGTCAGGTGTGTTGAAGCCAGTTGTGTTGAAGTCAGGTGTGTTGAAGTCAGGTGTGTTGAAGCCAGGTGCGTTGAAGTCAGGTGTGTTGAAGCCAGGTGTGTTGAAGCCAGGTGTGTTGTAGCCATATGTGTTGAAGCCAGGTGTGTTAAAGTCAGGTGTGTTGAAGTCAGGTGTGTTGAAGCCAGGTGTGTTGAAGTCAGGTGTGTTGAAGCAAGATGTGTTGAAGCCAGGTGTGTTGAAGCCAGGTGTGTTGAAGCAAGATGTGTTGAAGCCAGGTGTGTTGAAGCCAGGTGTGTTGTAGCCAGGTGTGTTGAAGCCAGGTGTGTTGAAGCCAGATGTGTTGAAGTCAGGTGTGTTGAAGCCAGGTGTGTTGAAGTCAGGTGTGTTGAAGCCAGGTGTGTTGAAGCCAGGTGTGTTGTAGCCATATGTGTTGAAGCCAGGTGTGTTAAAGTCAGGTGTGTTGAAGTCAGGTGTGTTGAAGCCAGGTGTGTTGAAGCCAGGTGTGTTGAAGCCAGGTGTGTTGAAGTCAGGTGTGTTGAAGTCAGGTGTGTTGAAGCCAGGTGTGTTGAAGCCAGGTGTGTTGAAGCCAGGTGTGTTGAAGTCAGGTGTGTTGAAGTCAGGTGTGTTGAAGCCAGGTGTGTTGAAGCCAGGTGTGTTGTAGCCATGTGTGTTGAAGCCAGGTGTGTTGAGGTCAGGTGCGTTGTAGCCATGTGTGTTGAAGCCAGGTGTGTTTGAAGCCAGGTGTGTTGAAGCCAGGTGTGTTGTAGCCAGGTGTGTTGAAGCCATGTGTGTTGTAGCCAGGAGTGTTGAAGTCAGGTGTGTTGAAGCCAGGTGTGTTGTAGCCATGTGTGTTGAAGCCAGGTGTGTTGAAGCTAGGTGTGTTGAAGCCAGGTGTGTTGAAGCCAGGTGTGTTGAAGCCAGGAGTGTTGAAACCAGATGTGTTGAAGCCAGGTGTGTTGAGGTCAGGTGTGTTGTAGCCATGTGTGTTGAAGCCAGGTGTGTTGAGGTCAGATGTGTTTGAAGCCAGGTGTGTTGAAGCCAGGTGTGTTGTAGCCAGGTGTGTTGAAGCCATGTGTGTTGTAGCCAGGCGTATTGAAGCAAGATGTGTTAAAGCCAGATGTGTTGAAGCCAGGTGTGTTGAAGCCAGATGTGTTGAAGCCAGGTGTGTTGTAGCCAGGTGTGTTGAAGCCAGGAGTGTTGTAGCCAGGTGTGTTGAAGCCAGGTGTATTGAAGCCAGGTGTGTTGTAGCCAGATGTGTTGAAGCCAGGTGTGTTGTAGCCAGGTGTGTTGAAGCCAGGTGCATTGAAGCCAGGTGTGTTGTAGCCAGATGTGTTGAAGCCAGATGTGTTGAAGCCAGGTGTGTTGTAGCCAGATGTGTTGAAGCCAGGTGTGTTGTAGCCAGGTGTGTTGAAGCCAGGTGTGTTATAGCCAGATGTGTTGAAGCCAGGTGTGTTGTAGCCAGGTGTGATGAAGCCAGATGTGTTGAAGCCAGGTGTGTTGTAGCCAGATGTGTTGAAGCCAGGTGTGTTGTAGCCAGGTGTGTTGAAGCCAGGTGTGTTGTAGCCAGATGTGTTGAAGTCAGGTGTGTTGTAGCCAGGTGTGTTGAAGCCAGATGTGTTGAAGCCAGGTGTGTTGTAGCCAGATGTGTTGAAGCCAGGTGTATTGTAGCCAGGTGTGTTGAAGCCAGGTGTATTGAAGCCAGGTGTGTTGTAGCCAGATGTGTCGAAGCCAGGTGTGTTGTAGCCAGGTGTTTTGAAGCCAGATGTGTTGAAGCCAGGTGTGTTGTAGCCAGATGTGTTGAAGCCAGTTGTGTTGTAGCCAGGTGTGTTGAAGCCAGATGTGTTGAAGCCAGGTGTGTTGTAGCCAGATGTGTTGAAGCCAGGTGTGTTGAAGCCAGGAGTGTTGAAGCCAGATGTGTTGAAGCCAGGAGTGTCAAAGCCAGGAGTGTTGAAGCCAGGTGTATTGAAGCCAAATGTGTTGAAGCCAGGTGTGTTGAAGCCAGGATTGTTGAAGCCAGGATTGTTGAAGCCAGGTGTGTTGAAGCCAGGAGTGTTGAAGCCAGGTGTGTTGAAGCCAGATGTGTTGAAGCCAGGTGTGTTGAAGCCAGGAGTGTTGTAGCCAGGTGTGTTGAAGCCAGATGTGTTGAGTCCAGGTGTGTTGAAGCCAGGAGTGTTGTAGCCAGGTGTGTTGAAGCCAGATGTGTTGAAGCCAGGTGTGTTGAAGCCAGGTGTGTTGAAGCCAGGAGTGTTGAAGCCAGGTGTGTTGAAGCCAGGTGTGTTGAAGCCAGGTGTGTTGAAGCCAGGTGTGTTGAAGCCAGGAGTGTTGAAGCCAGGTGTGTTGAAGCCAGGTGTGTTGAAGCCAGGTGTTTTGAAGCCAGGTGTTTTGAAGCCAGGATTGTTGAAGCCAGGTGTGTTGAAGCCAGGAGTGTTGAAGCCAGGTGTGTTGAAGCCAGGAGTGTTGAAGCCAGGTGTGTTGAAGCCAGTTGTGTTGAAGCCAGGTGTGTTGAAGCCAGGAGTGTTGTAGCCAGGTGTGTTGAAGCCAGATGTGTTGAGTCCAGGTGTGTTGAAGCCAGGAGTGTTGTAGCCAGGTGTGTTGAAGCCAAATGTGTTGAAGCCAGGTGTGTTGAAGCCAGGTGTGTTGAAGCCAGGTGTGTTGAAGCCAGGTGTGTTGAAGCCACGAGTGTTGAAGCCAGGTGTGTTGAAGCCAGGTGTGTCGAAGCCACGAGTGTTGAAGCCAGGTGTGTTGAAGCCAGGAGTGTCGAAGCCAGGAGTGTTGAAGCCAGATGTGTTGAAGCCAGGTGTGTTGAAGTCAGATGTGTTGAAGCCAGGTGTGTTGAAGTCAGATGTGTTGAAGCCAGATGTGTTGAAGTCAGATGTGTTGAAGCCAGATGTGAAGAAGTCAAACACATGACAAAATTATTTGTTTATAGTCTAAAGATTCAACATTTTAAAGATTTTTCATGTTTCTAAAGTGACTAAAAACATGATATATTTTATTCAAGAAATATTTTGTAATTTATTGATTATTTAATCGTCCCAATATTAACAAATAAAAACTTAACATTTTAGTAAGGAAAACATGAGTAAAGTGATAGAGAAAAGTGAAGGTGTTTAGGTGAAGACTGGCTTCTTGAAGGGAGAGGCGGGGGCCAGGAGTTACACCTCAACCACCAGCCACCCACACCCTCACACACCCTCCCACACCCACACACACCCTCACACACCTGCACCCACCCACCCACACCTGCACACACCCACACACCCACGAGGTAAACACAAGAGATGAGGAGGAGCAAATATTGATGGTAGGGTTGATGAGGGTCTGGGCCAGAATGACAGCACCCGCTGAGGTCTCTTATATCCTGCCTGGCTAAGACTCTGATATTGTGGGGTGGGGTGGGTGCTGCTGCCTCCACCCTCACCCTCCACCCACACCCTCCACCCTCACCCTCCACCCTCACCCTCCACCCTCACCCTCCACCCACACCCTCCACCCACACCCACCACCCTCACCCTCCACCCTCACCCTGAACCCTCACCCTGAACCCTCACCCTCCACCCTCACCCTCCACCCACACCCTCCACCCTCACCCTCCACCCTCACCCTCCACCCACACCCTCCACCGTCACCCTCCACCCACACCCTCCACCCACACCCTCCACCCACACCCTCCACCCACACCCACCACCCTCACCCTCCACCCACACCCTCCACCCTCACCCTCCACCCACACCCACCACCCTCACCCTCCACCCTCACCCTCCACCCTCACCCTCCACCCACACCCTCCACCCACACCCTCCACCCACACCCTCCACCCACACCCACCACCCTCACCCTCCACCCACACCCTCCACCCTCACCCTCCACCCACACCCTCCACCCACACCCTCCACCCACACCCACCACCCTCACCCTCCACCCACACCTTCCACCCTCACCCTCCACCCACACCCTCCACCCTCACCCTCCACCCACACCCTCCACCCACACCCTCCACCCACACCCACCACCCTCACCCTCCACCCACACCCTCCACCCTCACCCTCCACCCACACCCACCACCCTCACCCTCCACCCTCACCCTCCACCCTCACCCTCCACCCACACCCACCACCCACACCCACCACCCACACCCACCACCCACACCCACCACCCTCACCCTCCACCCACACCCTCCACCCTCACCCTCCACCCACACCCTCCACCCACACCCTCCACCCACACCCACCACCCTCACCCTCCACCCACACCCTCCACCCTCACCCTCCACCCACACCCTCCACCCTCACCCTCCACCCACACCCTCCACCCACACCCTCCACCCACACCCACCACCCTCACCCTCCACCCACACCCTCCACCCTCACCCTCCACCCACACCCTCCACCCACACCCACCACCCTCCACCCTCACCCTCAACCCTCACCCTCCACCCACACCCTCCACCCTCACCCTCCACCCACACCCTCCACCCACACCCTCCACCCTCACCCTCCACCCACACCCTCCACCCTCACCCTCCACCCACACCCTCCACCCTCACCCTCCACCCACACCCTCCACCCTCACCCTCCACCCACACCCTCCACCCACACCCACCACCCTCACCCTCCACCCTCACCCTGAACCCTCACCCACCACCCACACCCTCCACCCTCACCCTCCACCCACACCCTCCACCCACACCCTCCACCCTCACCCTCCACCCTCACCCTCCACCCACACCCTCCACCCACACCCTCCACCCACACCCTCCACCCTCACCCTCCACCCACACCCTCCACCCACACCCACCACCCTCACCCTCCACCCTCACCCTGAACCCTCACCCTCCACCCACACCCTCCACCCACACCTTCCACCCTCACCCTCCACCCTCACCCTCCACCCTCACCCTGAACCCTTACCCACCACCCACACCCTCCACCCTCACCCTCCACCCTCACCCTGCACCCTCACCCACCACCCACACCCTCCACCCTCACCCTCCACCCTCACCCTGAACCCTCACCCACCACCCACACCCTCCACCCTCACCCTCCACCCTCACCCTGAACCCTCACCCACCACCCACACCCTCCACCCACACCCTCCACCCTCACCCACACCCACACCCTCCACCCACACCCTCCACCCTCACCCTCCACCCACACCCACCACCCACACCCTCCACCCACACCCTCCACCCACACCCTCCACCCACACCCTCCACCCACACCCTCCACCCTCACCCATACCCACACCCTCCACCCACACCCTCCACCCTCACCCTCCACCCTCACCCTCCACCCACACCCTCCACCCACACCCTCCACCCTCACCCACCACCCACCACCCACACCCTCCACCAACACCCTCCAACCACACCCTCCACCCTCACCCACACCCACACCCTCCACCCACAACCACCACCCACACCCTCCACATACACCCTCCACCCACACCCACCACCCACACCCTCCCCCCACACCCACCACCCACACCCTCCACCCACACCCTCCACCCACACCCACCACCCACACCCTCCACCCACACCCACCACCCACACCCTCCACCCACACCCTCCACCCACACCCTCCACCCACACCCACACCCAACACCCACACCTTCCACCCACACCCTCCACCCACACCCTCCACCCACACCCTCCACCCACACCCTCCAACCACACCCTCCACCCTCACCCACACCCACACCCTCCACCCACACCCTCCACCCACAACCACCACCCACACCCTCCACATACACCCTCCACCCACACCCACCACCCACACCCTCCACCC